TTTTTAATTTCCTGGATATCTGTTTGAATCTGTTTTATGGCTTTCATTTCTTTCTTATGCTGGGATTTCATCAGTTTCTGGGCTCCTCTATTTTTTAAATTCTGTGTTTGTTCTGGAGTTATTAACTAGAAAACAATACTCCATGAGACAGGAACTCAAAAATACCAGGAATAGCTACCTTATGTGCAGATCAAATGAATTTCAAATCAACACTTATTAAGAGAGATGAAGGAGGTCATTACATCCTTGTAAAGGGAGCTATACAAGAAGAAGAGATGACAATCATAAATACATATGTACCAAATACTAGAGCACCAAACTATACAAAACAAATATTAACAGACATTAAAAATCAAATAAGCACTAATACAATAGTAGTGGGGGACCTCATTAGCCCACTGTCATAAATAGATCAACTAGACAAAAATCAACAATGAAATACTAGAAGTCAATCAAACTCTTGAACAAACAGACTTAACAGATGTTTACAGAGTCTTCCACCCCACAAAATCAAAATACACATACTTTTCAGCTGCATATGTGTCATTCTCCAAAATAGACCACATACTAGCTCATAGAACATGTTTAAGTAAATACAAAGGAATTGAAGTTATCCTGCGAATATTATCAGGTCATAGTGCAATGAAATTGGAGATCAATGGCAAAGGAAACCACAATAATTTAATAAACACATGGAAATTGAAGAACACACTTCTGAACAACCAATGGGTCACAGAGGAAATTAAAGAAGAAATCAGACAGTTTCTACAATTCAGTGACAATGCCAATACAACATTTAGGAATTTATGGGATACAGTGAAAACAGTCTTACAAGGGAGGTTTATGTGAATATCCATATAAAACACAGTGAGCTCAACTTCAAGCTGAACTTCAAGCTTCTAGGAAAAAAAAAAAAAAGAGCAGGACAAACCCAAAGCTTGCACAGGGTTGAAATAATAAAGATCAGAGCAGAAATTAATGCAATGGAGACTAAGAAAATGAAACAAAAAAATCAGTGAAGCCAAGAGTTGGTTCCTTGAAAGAATAAACAAAATTGACAAACCTTTAGCCAACCTTATCAAAAAAAAAAAAAAAAAGGAAAGGAAAGAAAAGGCCTAAAACTATGCAATTAGGAAGGAAAAGGGTGAAATTACAATGGGCCCAGCATAAATCCAGAGGATTATCAATACCTACTTAGATTGCCTATGTGCCAATAGGATGGAAAACACAGAATAGACAAATTTCTGGATACATATGAATTACCAAAGTTGAACAAAGAAGACCTAAAATTTCTAAATAAACCAATATCAATCCACAAAATTGAAAATGTAATTAAAAATTTACCAACAAATAAAGCACATGTCCTGATAGCTTCATTGCTGAATTCTACAAGACATTTAGAGAAGAACTACTGCCATTCCTGTTTAAACTCTTCAGTGAAATTGATAGGGAAGCAATACTCCTGAATTCATTCCTGGGAGCAAGTGTCACCTTGATCCCAAAGCAGAGAGAGACCCAATTGAAAAAGACAATTACAGGCCACACTCTCTAGTGAGCATAGATGCAAGAATCTATAAGGAGCTGGCAAACCAAATACAGAGGATCATCAAGAAGATCGTACACCCTGACCAAGCGAGATTCATCCCAGGGATGTAAGGATGGTTCAACATATGGAAATCAATAAATGTAATACACTATATTAATAGAGCCAACAAAAATCATGTGATCATCTGAGTAGATGCAGAAAAGCATTCAACAAAAATCCAACATCCATTTATGATAAAAACCCTCCAGAAAACTGGAATAGATGGCCTTTATCTCAATCTAATAAAAGCCATCTATGAAAAACCAACAGGCATCATCATACTACATGGTCAAAAACTGAAACCCTCTATGCTAAAAGCAGGAACAAGACAAGCATGTCCACTATCACCACTCCTTTTCAATATTGTTCTGGAAACAGCCACAGAAATTAGACAAGAAAAAGAAAAAAATAATGAAGATAGGAAATGAAGAAGTTAAATTGTCATAATTTGAAGATGGCATGATTCTCTATATAGAAGACCCCAAGAACTCCACCGAAAGTCTTCTAGACTTGATAACTAGATTCTGTACAGTAGGTGGATACAAAGTTAACATACAAAAATCAATAGCCTTCCTGTAAACGAATAATAGACTCACCGACACACAAACTGGAGAAAGAACTTTTACAACAGCATTCAAAAAAAGAAAAGAAACAAAAAGAAAGAAAGAAAGAAAGAAAGATCTAGGAATCAACTTAACAAAAGAAATCACAGACCTCTATTCCTGAAACTACAGCACTCTGAAAAAAGATATCAAAGAGGATATCAGAAAATGGAAAGTCAAGGCCAGGGACTTAGCTCAGTATCCCCATGCCTGCCTTGCAAGCCAAGGTCCTAAGTTCAATCCCTGGTACAAAAAAGAAAAGAAGAGGGGAAGGGAGGAAGAGGGGGG